GAACTCCATTTTAACAGGAAGAGATATTGAGCATTCTTTGTAATTGTCTTCTTAGTCTCACCTGTTAACCATACTTGTTCCCAACCTGTGCAGGTCTGGTCTAATCAGCTAACCTACCTCAAACAACACCTGCATTGCTGTATTCAGGGTTTGGAGTAAAGTGACCACTAACCACGTGATGTTAACTTGTCCGCCACTTTGGACGTGTGACAATTATGGTGGCATTGCAGGAAGTAGTGAATAATGACCGAGCCACACAGACCTAGACACTAGCACCCTTTGAATCAGGTTGGCAGCGGCGCGAAGGCATAAATTTTACTTTGAAGGTGAAGTTTCTCCATTTTCCAGGTTGCGTCACAGTTTTATTACCGCTCAGGTAGCAGTTAGCGAGTTTTTGCAAACAAACATGGCAAACTACGGGCAACCAAAGAAATCGGTAAGAGGTTTTCGGTGCAGCACTTTCTTTGCATACGATTTCATCCAGTCAGAGCCTTATATGGCACTTTTCTACTCGAACACTCAAAGAGCTTTGTACATTCAAACAAGCAGTTTGCTCAAAGCTTAATCGCTTTCTGTATAACAGTCACAATCCAATGAACACATCAGAGAACCACTTGGGGTTCAATATCTTGCCCAAGGATACTTTGGCATGCAGGGATTGAACCTCGAACGGTTCGATTAATAGATGAACTGCTCTACCTCTGAGTTCGACCCACCCCAAATATAGTAATGTGCACATGTCAGTGGGAAACCTCAAAGGGACCACTGCCTGTTAGTGAATAAATATCTATTTGGATTGGGATTTTTTTCCCTCGTGGTTCTTTTCAGGACCCAAGAATTTAACAGCCAGCATAAAGCTCAACTCTGATTGGATGCGTCAGTCGCTACAGAGGTCCTGGGACATGGCGGCTCCACTCCTGCCCGAACCTTCTTCCTCACAAAGCACCAGAGACCACCACACAACAATCATCATCATCTTCTTTTCTTCTTCTTTGAGTTGCTCCGTTCAAGCGTCATCACAGCAGCTCGTCTTCATTTCATGCATGACCTTAAAACAACTGAAATAACCATCATCGCTTCTAAAGTAATGATCTGCACTTTTTGCATTTTGCAACTTTTTATGTTCTTGTAAGAGTTTGTATTCATTTAAGAAAAAAACTGCATTTTATAATAAAAATTTACAAAAATCATGCATTTAAAATGCTTTCAGTGCTGCGAGGTACCTCGTCTTGTCTGTCTGGTCTCATCATCTACTTTGGAGGAAGCTATTTGCTCGTGCACACGCCTCAGTTACTGAAGCGTAAAGGTCAAGTCACCTAAGAGCTGTTATGCATCACACCCCGCCTGAAGCCGAGGCACGCCATCGATCCCAGGCATGGTAATCACACTGAAAACCATGCCACCTGACACGCCGTAGCCCATTTACACATCGCACATGAAGCGCGAGCACCTCGGGGTGCTCTGCTGTCCGTCTTTGTCTCTGACAGGGCGGTCCCCTCCCTGCTGCCCCGTAATGGATTTACTCCCATCTCTCCGAGCACGTTGGCCTTGGGGCAAAGCATTGGCTCGGCCCCTGATTGACAGCTGCTGATAGCGGGTTGAGAGCTTGTTGCCAGGGGCTACAGGGGGACACCCTGCATCCACACATGCAGTTGCCATGGAAATAGGGAGTTCAGGCCTTCTGCCTGCAGATGGCAACGCTGCACTCCGAGTCAGGAGGGAGATGAGACCGGGGTACGAGGGCGGCACGGCGAATCGGCGGCTGTCTCTCAAAGAGAGAGCGTGGGTTTGATTTTGCGGTTTGCACAGTTCACCCCGGCTTCACCTCAGAACCCCCCTAGGTGCTGCTTTCAATTACACGCACATCAGGTGGAGAATCTGCACATTTGCACTCTTCCTAGGCATGGGTGAAAATGTCTGCTGCCGGTCTCTGCGCTGCTGCACATCAATCCTTCATTTTTTCCCCTCTTCTGTACATTATCTGATCTTTTTTTATCGCTCAACACTGCAACTGCTGCAAGAGCATAAAAAACAAACCATCTATTAAAAATCACAAAAAGCCGATCCTGTGCTGTTTCTCAGCTGTTAGGCCACACGAGACAGGCTGTTTTTCCCCGGCTCCCTTCTGCTGTCTGACACAGGCCATGTGAACCTGTGAACTGAACCATATTTGGAAGGGGTGTGTGCACGCAGCTCTAACCACTTCCATTTACAGTGGCTTCATATCTGATTTCCTCCTCAGCATGCACATTTTTCCCACCCAGATGAGCAAAGTCAGGCTGACAGCTACTCGTACGTGGAACACAGTTTCAGCTTCTGTTTCACATTCAATTCCTCTGGCTGTCTCTGTGTGGACAGGAGTCATCAACAGCTTGGAGGGTTTCTTTCTCTTTCTCTCATACACACACATCTGTAATGGGCAGGAGAGGAGAAGGGAAGCAAGTTGAGGTGAAACCCACCACTGTTCCCATGTAGTCACCCTCTGCTGCTGCTGCTGGGGTCAGTTTGCAGTATTTCCCACCTGAGTGACAAATACTGCAAAGCACTACTGGTTCTGTGAAGCTCAAAAGAAACAGAGCCCCTCTGCATGTCTCACATCTCCCGTCCTTATGCACTCTCCTCAGCCCGGGATTATTGCATTGTGACAGGCTGCTTACATGCAAGCAGCTGTAATGAGCGTGAACCACTTGAAACTTAGAGGAAACAGCAGCATTGCATCTGATTGCATCCTCCGAGCTGCTCCGTGAGAAACGCAGTCAGCTGCCTCCGGATATTTGATTTATTCAGCTCTCAGATCCGGTGCGTTACCCACCGGGCGGTGCGCTGTGCAGCAAGCGCGGTTCCCACTGATCTTTCAGTACACCGTGTTCCATATAGTGTGGAGTCAAACAAGGACACGGCGTCTGAGGAATCACTTAATACCACCTTAAATTTGGATTAAATTTGCATAATAGTGTTTTAACAGAGAAACGCCGGGACAGTTTGTTGTTGCTGTGCAGCAGAAAAGCCTCCAAAGTGCAGAAACACGTCACGCTTCGTGTTTTTCTCGCACACATTCCGCTACAATTTGAAGCGTGATACCTTAAAGGCTTCACACACTCCTTTGGTTCCTGGCCAATAGGTTTCGGAGGCGTTCAGGAACTGTGGGGAATATAGCAACTCTTCAGCGAGCCTTCATTGATGAGCAAGACAAAAAAAAAGTCACTAAACTCCTTTTTTATGGAGGCTTGCATTCGCCGAACAAAACAAACAAACAAAGAAACTAGAGTTGTTATCGCAGAATCTCAAGTTCCATTTATTTTTCGACTTATTAGTTACAAATCATTTTCTTTCAGTTTTAACTTAATCAGTCGACATTTCAAGTCGTTTCCTCTTTCTTTTAGTTATTTTTTTTAATTCACAGTTATATTCTCAATAATAACTCTAAATTTTAATTTATTTTAAAGGTTTTTTTTCCCCTCAGTAGGTTCAGCTTGTAAATCAATATTTTTTGAACTACCTGAATCAACATTTTGAGATAATAACCTGATTTTCTAAATTAATTATGGATATTAATAGACTTAGTCACAGTAGGCTTGGTTTGGCTTTGAGTAATTTTAATGTCAATGTACAGAATGACCACAGACTGTATATAAAAGATGGAACTAGCCACTGTAATATCAGTTACTGGTTTCTGGACAATATCAGTTTATTTATTTATTTATTCATTTTTTATCTTGGACTCAGGAGTAACCAGAGGTTTGGACAAAAGCTAGTGGTGCTAAGCTATCAACTCATTTTAGCAAGCCCGGTTACCAAGTTAAATCCACTAACTGTCCACCTCAATGACTGATTCTTCAGATGTGTTTTATGTATATGTATCACATGGACATTTAGCTTGTAGCTGATGAAGGTGGTTGATGGTCTGTATTGCACAGTATTAGACACATATTCAGATTAGATCCATGATGCGTCATGGAGGGACGCATCATGGATCTAGTAACTCCAGTTAGCTGAGGTCTACTTTACAGAATGAGTATCCTTGGGCAAGATACTAACCCCATGTTTGCCTACTGGTGGTGGTCAGAGGGCCCGGTGGCGCCAGTGTCCGGCAGCCTCGCCTCTGGCAGCATGGCAGTAATCGTACTTAGTATTTCAAATGACATTAAAGTAACATAAAACAGGTCCCGTTGCAGCAATGTTAAAAAAATAATTTTGTGAATTTGTTACATTTATGAAGTGATTGAGGTTACATTTCATAAAGTCTCACTGTGACATTATTTTTTCTATAACGTTTTTAAAAAAAGTGCTTGTGTGGTTAATTTGTGAACACAGAGCAATGCTGTCACAACGCTGAGTGTTGCAAACATATCAGTTTATGACCAAATACAACAGTTGCATTATGTAATGTGCTTCTAGGCTTCTAGTGTTTTCTAGAGCTGCCTATTTTTGGGACACCTTTCCCCTAAATAAATGAGGTATTTAAGACAAAAAAACTCCTTTATTTATAACCACCCATCTGTTATCAAGGGGGAAACTATCCAGGGAAATATGTCTGTGAAGGTTCTCAGTCATCCAGGTCATCGTAGTCAAAGGAGCTTGCAAAGAAAAGTGTCTGGCTCAGGGGATTAGAGGATCATCAGGGGGTCCTTTTGTCCCTCTGTGGGGGGATACTCCCACTAGGTTTATATCTGGGACTCTCCACCATTTGACCTCAGAACTGAAGAAGCTTCTCGGATGAGAGGTGAAACGTCTTCAAGTAACTTAAAGAAGTCCAGACGCTTTTCTTTGCAAGCTCCTTTGACTATCCAGGGAAACTGTTTACTGCACTATCATTCTTCATGTAAACATGCGTTTTAACTTGAACACTTTAAATGAGATCTGTGCGAAGAACCTGGACGTCACGAGCCACCGCTCGAGAACGAGGTGGGATTGTAGGTATGCGGATTCCCAGCCAAAGGAGGGGATGCGTGAACTCAGCACAGTTGTGAGATCAGCTGATTTTTTACGCTGCCATTTTGTCCAGCACAGGAGCGAGCATTCAGTCAGTCAGTCAGTCAGTGAGTGCGCAAAGAGAAACCACTGGCGAGACTTTCCATACGGCGGCACCGGACCGAACTGTCGGTAAGAAAAATAAAAAAAGAACAACGGGAGCCAGTAATGTGGTGACGGCAGACGGAGGGAAGCACCAAACTGAGCCCGAGGACCGTGAAGGGAAACAGGCGAGCTAAGGGAGCTGTCAGGGAGGTTTTTTTGTTTCTTTCTTTTTTAAACTCAGCGGCTCCGCCGGCTCGGCTCCCCGGTCACAGACCACAGGAACCCGCTTTCTCTCTACCCGCCCGCCTGGCTGGTTGGCTTTAGCTAACCCTGCTAGCATCTCGGCTAACCCCCACCGCCGGTCCTCGCGTCTCCTCTCACCGTGGGAAACTGCAACTGTCCCGGCTGTCAGTGTCACACCGTCCTCCTGTAAACTTCAAACAATGCGCTGCTCCTGTCTGAGAGACTTTTTACGCCCAAGGGACGATTTAACGCACGCTTCGCCAAGCGACCAGTGATAGCTGAGCTGCGGTCCAAGCTAACAAGTTGACGTGGAAGAGGAACTCTATTTTTTTTAAACTGTTTTCCAAGCTGTGATTTCACCAGGATTACTTTCCCCCTCTGCCCTGCCCGAGTTGGACTCGACTTTTTGGTGACTCCGGGTTACAAAGCAGCCAGTTAGCTATGTTTATTTGTGGCCAGAAAGTAATTTCAAGTGTTTGCGGATTCCACAGTGGGACTCTCTCTTGGTTCGAGTACTGCAACGGAAACATTAGCTAACACAGACTGGCTCGTGTTGTGTTTACTGCATAAATAGATAGACGGAACAAACAGTTGCCAAACATTTTTTTGTTTCATTTTTAAATTCAGATTGTAGTTAAACAGATTGTTCTTGTACCTGTCGTGAGCAGACATTGCTGCACAGGTTGTGTGGAAGACAGTGTGTGTCTGAGGGTGTGTGATCCCTGCTCTCTGTTACCTCCACTTGACAGTGAAGTCACGTTGAGTTGATCCATTGATCGGATCGTTATTGTACTATTTTCGCTGATTGAAGGGGGGGAAAGAAAAAAGTCGGTGCGATGTCGGGCCAATCTATCACGGATCGGATCACAGCAGCTCAGCACAGCATGACCGGGTCGGCTATCAGCAAGGCTGTGTGCAAAGCCACCACGCATGAAGTGAGCGGACCGAAGAAGAAGCACCTTGACTGTGAGTAGACCCCCCTCCACACATCATTCCCCTCCCCTTGTATCTGTCCTCTTCTTCACTTTAACCTGGCTGTGGTTGGACAGTCCAGTCCAATCAGCTAGATTAGACAGCAAATGGTTTTCTGTCACATATGTGTATGGCTGTAATGGCTGGTGATCCTATTAAAGATCCAGAACGTTTCAAGTCAAAATCCCAGGCTTGGCAGAGGTTGAAACCCTCATTTTTTTCTACTCTTGGCTCTCTATGACATCACTGAGAGATACTATCCCTAATATGGGCTTCTCTGGAATGAGCACCTCCTGCCCCACCCTCCACCAATCGGAAGCCCTACAAGCTGCATTTGCTGCAATGGGCACTTGATGCTGGCTTCATAGACCCCCATGTTAAAATATCCAACTTTACAGTAAAAATAAATAGTGTTGTGGTTTACATATTTGCCAGGGACCATGGAGAGTTTTCACGCTCTTAAAGGCCACTAGTTACATCACACAGTGACAGTGAGATTAATAGACAACCAAGTGCACTTATGCTTGCCATATAGCTCTTCTATAGAGCAAAACTTTCAAGGTTACAAAAATGGAGTGGTGCACAACTGGCTAAAACGATGCCAAAACGTGGCTTGTGCCAGCAGATGTGATGCCACTTATGCCATGTGCCGCTGGTCGCAAGGGCGAGCATAGTGGACCCCTTAAGTCGTACCCCTCAAAGGTGTATGCTCAGCCTCACTGCCACAAAATAAAATCACTGAAGTGGGTTGTTTGAACCCATTTGTGCTGTTGGTGCCTTTATAATTATGATGGCAGTAACCAAAACGCCAACATTGAGGCTTGAAACTTGCAAGTTGAACACCACTGGGTGACTTCAAAGTGGCTACATTGGTCTTTTTTACTGACTGTGGATCAAACCTTCTGTTTGTGAGAAGCAGCCAATCAGAGGAAAGTTGGCGTTTAAAGGGAGAGGAAGTAGAACAGCTTATTTCAGCATTTATTTTGAATGGTCGGTCATGCAAAGCTGTGCTATATTCATGTGATTTGCAAAGCACAGAACTGTGTGCATATGTTTCCTGGTGACTGCAGCAAAGAAGCGACTGAGGTGTAACTTTCATTGGGTTCATGTCCTCAGGAATGGAGAGGAGGCATCACAGCCAGCAGGTGAAGCAGTCTCTAGATGTCCCTGCTGTTTTTTGAAATGTGTCATTCCTGATTTGTTCAGTCAGTCTCTCAGGCATTCAAACTACAGTTGGGAGAACATCTGAACATCAAGCCAGCTCACTGTTTTAGATGATGTGTCACTCTGGAAGGTGTTGAAAAGTTTACTCTCGACTTTTTGGCCATCCTTTTTTATAAAATTCACCCACGCCGGTGACTTCTGAGACAATATGCTGCTTAGTTTGAAGTCGACTCTGACTGGAACCTTAAATAGATTAGACCTGGCACTCTCTGTTAGGTTAGGCGAGTACAAAGCTGTGAAGAAAAAAAAAAAATTCACAGCTTCTCTCGTCTTCCTGTCGCCAAAAATAATAGATCAGTCCTGAAAGATCGGACAAGTAGGCTCTCGTCTACAGTTCTGTGTAAAATGAGTTCTTAAAACTCAGAGATGCTAAGTTTTACTATCAAAGATGGGGATACACTCATACATCAGATAACTGTTAAATGATATCAGCTCATCATCAAGCACAGTTTACTGATGTCAGTGGCTGATAGCTTTCTTTGTCGCATAAATTGTGGGCATAACTCTAGGAATGGGTGGAAAATCGATTCAGCACAGTGTCTCAATATTGAATTGATAGAGAGACACCAAATATCAATATTTTATTCAATAAATCCAAATAAATAAACTAAAATACTCTGGGAATACTACTCTACTAACAAGACGACCCATCTCACTTCCCTCCTGAAATAGGTTCAGCTAAGGCATCAAACACATTTTGCTTGGCAGAATATATGAATACCAACTTGACCCCATTCAATCGTAGACTGATATCGGTCTGTTTCTCTACTAGTTAAATGTTCTGTGTGGAACATTGCTGGAAGAATTTCAAACACACCATGTACTTTCGTGAAGAATAGCTTTTGTTTCCAGAGAGGGTAACAAATAAGAAAACAAATAAAAATAAGGTCCATGTTGATGTTGGCCAAGATTTTCACAGTTGGTGTGTCCCGAACCCAAAATGCCAAACAAACCATAGAATTGTCACATTTCAGGACCTTAGACCTGGATGTTTGAGTTTTATTGCTTGAAAATGGGTGAAATCTATCAAATAGGAATTTAAAAAAAAAAAAAAAAAAAAAAAAGTTAACTGTTTCCCTATGATAGCAAGAATTCCTTAGCTATCTTAACTATAATCACTTCCCGTCTGTTCTGGAGAACCACCAAATGCCTTTTTAATGAAAAGCTTTGATAGTTTGTTTATTTGTTTAATCATGTTAGAATATTTCAGCCTTCTTGAGCTCCCTAAACAGCATTTAAGAGCTTAAAACCATAGATCTGTCAGGGTCGGGGCAAGGTCAGTTTGAAATGAGGTGGTGTTTGAGTTAGGCACTACACCCAACATTGGTTATAGATAGACACTTAAAACAAGAAGTTAGGGTTAGGTCAAGCTGTTGGGTTAGCTTTAAATGCCATTGTTGGTTAGGGTTGGACACCACACCCAATGTGTTGAAGGTCAGGTTAAACTGTTGGGTCACATGTAATTGAGTTTCGTAAGCTAGGTTTGGATACAAAACCCAAGGTGGTTGGACTTAGGTTCAGAGTCGGCAGCTGACCATTTAAACTGGAGAGTAATTGGCTTAAGCCTCTTTGCTGTTCTAACCAAAAACAACTATATACACCTAATATACTAAGAGAGAAACGTAGCCACCCAAAATGATAAAAGCCCCAACCAGTCAGGGCAGATGATTGCCCGTCCTTAAGCCTACTTCTGGTGTAAGGTTCTTCCTATTAAAAGGGAGTTTTACCTTCCCGTGGTCACCAAAATGTTGGGGTTTACTCTGTTTTATTTGAGTGTCTTTGTGATTTGGTGTTATGTAAATACAACTTTTATCTGTTAGATTGTAGAGAAAAAGCAGTAGAAAAACACATTTTCTCTGTAGGTGCAAAGGTGGATCAATGAACCCATTACACCCTGACATAGCTTGGTGCGAGTGCACAATCCTCAGTACATTTCCATTTGTTTTGCAGTTTCTCACCTCAGACATTTATAATTATGATAATCTGATGTGCACCTCCCTAGAAATGTAACTACTGGTCTGCTCTATGCAGCTCACCACTATTGTGAGTGGGCTGTTCAGCACAGTCGATTCCTCATGTGCATTTCTGCTTTTTTTTTGTAGTTTTTAAATGTATCAGGGAGAGAATAACAATCAATACAAAGGTAATAATCATAGCATCAGTATGATGCGCAAATGTCGTTAAATTCTCGGAGGGAGATTGCTGAAACTGTTTGGAGGGAAGTGGGGGAATGTACAAGGAAGTGGAAAAACTAGAGGGACGTAATGTAGGGAATGTCGTACGTTAGACAAAGATTGCTCACAGGAATCCAATTCAGGGCTTGGACATCATAGGGTTAAATTGAGATGCCATTTGGCTTTTCTGCTTGTCAAAGTTTAAACAGTAACCGTCTAAATGGTTAGTGTTAACATTTTTGTCAGCTGACTAATCATGCCAGCACCTGTTCTTATTTGTGAAGCTCTAATCAGCCAATACATTACTTCAATCAAAGGCTTCTGGTGTTTTGGGGTCTGGCGCCGATACGCAGCTCTTGTAGCCAGTTCCTTTAGTACGGACTTCAAGAAGAGTCGTAGACAGAGATAACACAGCAAGTGATAGAAGTCCCGAGGTCCCAGAAGGATGCATTGTGGTTATCTTGTTTTCAAGGAGAGCATAAATCACTCAAATGCCTCACAGATCATGGGAGAAACATGACATTTCTTGATATGGCAGCTTTAATGGCCTTTATTTGTTGGGAAATCCCCTCAGACACTTTCAGGTGCAGGAGCGCAGAGCACATTGTACTCTCATCGCCTTTTAGATTAGTAATTGATTCCTGATTGTCACCTTATGTCCTATCTTGGTCATAAAGAGTGAATGACCATATTTCATTGTCAGTGGCATCCCTCAAATTAAACCTGAGTCATGTTGAAGGTGGCTGTGATGCAAATGTGCCATCATAAAAGAGCAAAAAAATGAATAAATGGAATAAAAATAAAAGCAGCGCCGTCTTAGACATTGCTGAGACTAAATGTGCTGAAGATCTGTTTCTGGGAACTGCCTTTGTCGGCTGTGGGATGCACATATTTGATTGATGTTTCAGCTCAGCTGCCTCGCATCCGTCAACTCCGCCTCCTCCTCGCTCACAAGACTCAGCTGCTGACGTTAGAGGAAAAAGACATGCATTGTCTCTGTTCCTTTGTGAACCTGGCCGGACTTTAATAGCCAATATGCCACGTCAAGCTTAATCATTATAGATATTGATTTCTTTGTGAGAGCAACAACCTCGGTGCCGTTGGGGGAAGGGGCAATCGGTGAGCAGTGCATTGCATGGTATTTGTCCTTCTGATGATTTTAACACGAAGATAACATGCAGTGTTGTCAGGCTGTTAACTTCATTGTGTTGCTGGTATGAAGGAAGGGCAGCCAGCAGGCAGGAATAAAAGGCAGGCTATCTGTTTGTCATTCAGTCTGGCAGGTAGTCAATTTGTGAGTCGGTTAGCAAGAATGTGAGGCTGGCAGGGAGTGTATTCGATCACTACTCAGTCAACTAGTCAGCCAGCTTATTCAACTATCCAGTAAAGCAGTAAATACTGGATTGTCTGCCTGTAGGTGAGCCCCATTCATGCTGTTATGCTTTCCCTTGTTATACTGTTACAGCAAGGGAGGCTCAGATCAAACATAGATTTAAATACAGAGGTCAGCTTATATGAAGGTAATCACTGTGAGCCAACAACCTGTGTTAAATGCTTGATTTCAGACCCTCTGTATGGCTCTGTATGGTGACCAAG